GCGGAAGAAGCCCGCGTCCATCTTGCCTCCTCCGCCTCCTCCTGCTCGCGGCGCGCTGCCGTCCCGGCGTGCACCGCGCGCCCGCGAGCCCCCTCGCACGCCCGCCGCGGGGAGGGGAGGGGAGGGGAGGAGCGCAGCGCGCCTGCGCACGGCACGCAGGCGGCAAGGGCCGCAGGGGCGGGGCGGGGCACGCCGAAAGGCTCTCCGGCGGGCGGCGATTGGCTGGCGCGGGTTCGAGGGGGGATGAGTGCGCGCGCTGGAGCCTGCCAATCAGAATGCGTGACGTTTTCGGCGGGGCGGGGGTGTGCAGGAGTCGTCTCTCGCGAGAAGGTGACGCGCGTGTGGCTCGCGCGGGGCGCGGGCGGCTGCGGCTGCGCGCGGCGCCAACGGCCGCCGGGTCCGGCAGCGGCGACGGGCCCCAGCGCCGCCCCCATGGCCGGCACCACCCCGTGGCCGGAGCCACCCCCGTGGCCGGAGTCAGCCCCATTACCAGAGCCATCTCCATTACTGGAGCCACCCCCATGGCCGGAGCCACCCCCGTCCCCAGAGCCACCCCCATGGCCGGAGTCACCCCCTATAACACCCAACCGCCCCCCGTCACCAGAGCCACCTCTGTTACCGGAGTCACCCCCGTTATCGGAGCCACCCCCATGGCCGGAGTCAGCCCCTGTGGCACCCAACTGCCCCCCTCACCAGAGCCACCCCCATGGCCGGAGCCACCCCCTGGCCAGAGTCACCTCCTGTGGCACCCAACCGCCCCCCCTGTCACCAGAGCCATCCTCCTGTCACCAGAGCTGCTTCCCCCTTATCACCACAGCCGCCYCCCCTTATCACCAGAGCTGCCCCCCGTCACCGCAGCCACCCCCGGGCCGGCGCTCGGGCTCTGCCCCTCGGCACCTGCCCCCTCAGCAGAGCAGCCGCCTCCGCTGCCTCGGGGTCCCTGCGCCGCCCCGGGACAGGGGGTGACCCGGCTCCCCGGTTAATACAAAACTRCCTTCAGTAACCGGCCCGGTATCCGTATGAATAAATTCGTACATCTGAATCTTTAAAAAGCCTTGTTTCCTTCCAGTCTGGTTGGAGCTTGTTTATCCCGGAATAAAGCACCCAGCTTTACCAGCAGACAGAGTGTTTCATACGAGGGGAATACACGAGGTCATGGGCGCCTTTTCAAAATGAATGGGCCACGGGACTGGAGCCTGGAGCCGCCGTGGTGCCGACTTCCTGGATGTCAAGTTTGCCGCCTCTTTCCTGCCTTCGGCCGGTCCAGGTGGGAGACTCCTACCCCGCGGGATGGCGGGGAGCAGGACGGGGCCGCGGCTGGACGGAGCTCCCGAGAGGCACCCGGCTCGGCGCCCAAGCCCAAGTCACAGAGCGCCCGGAGGACAGAGGTTGGAAGAGACCCCTGAGATGCCCTGGGCTGCACCGAGGAGAGCTGGATCGAGGGACACAGGCCCCGGGATGGAGCCATGGGCCTGGGACGTACCCGGGGGGAGAGAGCCGAGCTGGGCTTGTCCCAGAGGGAAATTCTACATTTTAGCAGAGCACCCACATGGACACAGCTACAGCGCCAGCCGTGCTGCCCAAGGACCCAGCCTACAGCGCCGTACGTTCCAGGAGCCTTTTGGCAACAAGAAGAAAAGTACCAGTTTGTGCGAGACGAGCTGCAGCCTGGCTGCTGAAAAGGGAATTTTAAGGACCTTAGAGGTAGCGCATGATTGGAAGTGCACGCCATGTATTCTTACACGGATATTTTTAAAAGAGAAAAGCCTGCTCCACAGAACGGAGAAAGCCTGTCTGCTTGCGTTGAATTGCTAAGCAAAAAGCTAAGCAAAGAGCCACGTGGAGGCACTGCACGACCAAGAGCGGCTCTCGGAGCCTCAGCGTTCTGCGGTGCGTTAGTTTGCACAATGTCGTGGATTGTCTGCAGTCCTTCCGTGCAGTTAGTGCCTCACGCTGACACTGCCTGCCCTCTCCAAAGCCGACGTGGTTTGGCATTCATCTCATGGACCGGTTTGGAATCTCAGCTTGCAAACTTTCATCTTCACCTTTTGCCAGTGACGGACCCGAGTGCAAAGGCAGCTGCACGGGAGCGTTTCCAAAAAAACGAGTGGCCAAGTGCCCAGCCGGGGCAGCTCCAGGTGGAACCATAGCGGTTACTGTTGCAGGTAGAGCCCGTTCCTGGAAAACTGTGAACTCCAGAGSAAATTATACACGGATTAGAGTGGCAGTGCGGGGAAATACAGTGCTCTTTGTTTCCAAAAAGGTGGTTTCCCTGGGTCAGGGCAAGCTCGGGCTCCTGCTGACTTGGCTGCAGTTAGAAGGGGCTGGGGAGGCCTCCCAGCCTGGGCCAATACCCACCTTTTTACCGAGATTTTACCGGAAAACCAGAGCACACTTTGGACTGCCGGTCCYGGGGTGTTCCTGGGGCCAAGGCAGTTATTATTCCCTCGAGGTCAAACAATCCCACCGGCACAGAGGGGCTGGTGGAAAGATCGCTCACTCAGACTCCGTCCAGGAGAACAAACTCCCTGCTGTGGAACGGGCTGCTTCTCTGCTCACATCCTCAGGCTTTGCCAGCAAAAACCACTTGGAACAAAAACGCCTTACTGGGGCTCTTATGATGGTTGAATTTTTAAGTATAATCTAGCCTATAATCTGGGTTCTTTTACTAGAATAATTCTGTAAATGGGAAGTCAACAAAACCTGCCAAAAAACAAGTCTGTGTTAAAAATAGCCAGAAGGCAGAGCTTATCTTTCCTAAAGATCTTAAATTCTTTATACAGTGGAATATTCTGGAAAAAAAGAAATCCTTGGATAGTCACAGATAGAAAGAAGCGGCCAAGCCAACTGTATAACTGTATAAAAAGTATAAACTTTTAGAAAAATTCCAGTGGCTTCTGCAGTTCCTTCTGAATGATTAGATCAATCATTCTTGCCACCAAAATAAGTCAGTGAACCAGGACAAGTAAAATATTTACAATGGGGTTTAGAAACTTCACAAACAGCTGTCTTAATATTTAGTTTGGAATTCAGAAACTGTGCTGCAGCTTCRTATATTAAAAATAATAATAATAATTGAGGTTTCGTTTAGTTTCTGCACAAAAATACCAGTTAGCAAAGGTGAYCTGTCCAAGAGATGTCTTCACATCTTGAAATTAAGAAAGGAATTTCTGCAGTCAGTCACCACTTCACTCTGAGATCTGACAGCTTCTTTTTTAATCACTCATTTCAGAGCGAGGCGACCGGGATTTGTGGCAGCGCTGGAAGAGCAGCGAGCAAGTGGCTGCAAGACAAAGAAAACCCGCTTTAAAGCTGCAGGCTCCTTGAGGTTGGTTGAATTAGTCAAGAAGAAGCTCTTCACAGCTCCCCAAGGCATTAACGTTCCCCAGCAGCAGCTTCACCAAGGTCTTCAAARCCACCAGAGCCCTCCTATGGTCACGGCGGCTTAGAGCTAGCCTGGAACATGACACCTTAGCACAACAGATCCGGACTAAAACGCTGCCCCTGCTCGTTTCACACTTTCTCCAGCCGTTACAATGAGCAATTCCATAGTGGTTAAGATGTGTGTGTGTCCAAGGATGGAGGTGACGCTTCCCAGAACCTCCCATCCTCCCGTTAGAGTTGGAATTTGGCCACTCGGCTTCTCTTTCCCCCTTCCCGTGTCTCCGGCTGCAGCCTGGGCACAACTGCCTGCAGGACAGGGACAAGGACAAGGCTCTGCTCTGTGTTCACCCGCTGTGGGCTGCAAAATATTCCCGGGATTTCTTTTTTTTTTTTTTTGGCGCGTTACTCTACACCCACAAGCATCACTCTTGCAAAACAACAGCACTTTTAGTTACTCTTTTTAGAAAGAAAAGATCTAAAAATAGTTCTAGCTTAATCTTGCAGAACAAAGCATCTCAAGAAGTGAATTATAAAAGAGTAGCCATATGAAACTTCATTTGATTTACCCTGCATTTCCATTTTTATCTTTTCAGTGCAAGAACTCCCCAGTTTATGTATAAGACAAAATATTCTAATGGAATTCCAGTAATGAACTTGGAGCAATTATTGGCGTCAGGGTGAAAACCCTTACAAGGAGGATTCTTGTGGTGGGAACCGTTAGGTTCCCAAGTTTATAGAAACATTTCAAAAATTCTTCACACACAAAGTAACTGTTTTTTTATCTAAAACCATACACATATATTATTAGAAAAAGAAAAGATGAATAAAGATAAATACAGTTTTGATAATTCACAGATAATCCATCGTGTATAAATTACACTTGTTTCACGTGAGTCTTAACAAACCCAGGTTAAAACAGAGTCCATTTTTTTGTTCCGCTTTGTCACCGGTCTCTGCAGGAAGGAGAAGTCTGGAAGTCTGCGGGTCAGGGGGGACTTCAGGAGAGGAACGTGCAGCTTCGCGCCCCGCAAACGGCTCCGCTCGCTCATTCCACGTTCACGTCTCCGTAAGAAACCTCCTCACGTGCTTCCTGGTGATTCACATGCCTTCCCCAAGCCATTCCAGACATGCAAAGCCAGCGCAGGCCTCTCACCTCTCCTCCCAAGGAGAGAAAATGGGACAAATGTCCATGTGCAGGGAGCGCGGCGCTGCTCCCGAGGCTGGTCCATGCCCGTGGGGCTGCCAGCTCCTCTCCCTCGGGGCCGGAGGGTCTTCTCAGCTACCTGCTCTGCACGTGGATGTCCCCAGGGATGAAGGTCACCGTGGGTGGCTGAGGGATGCTGCTCTTCTGCCCCAGGGCGGGAGGAAGGGCGGCTTTGGTGCCTTTGGGCTCCAGCTCCCGCTTCACTCTCATGTGTCTATGGAAGTGAAAATGGGAACGTCACCGGCGCTGGCATCGCTTGTGCTCTCTCCCATGATGGATATGGGAAGAGTGCTCTCTCCCATGATGGATATGGGAAGAGGAGAGCAAAAGCCGGATTGCATCCCAGGGATGGCACATGCTCAATGTCAGTGCCAGCCCAGCCCGACGCCGAAGTAGGAATTTCAGCCACTTACCGGTTGTAGGTTTTCAATATGAGCAGAACCACTGTGAAAATAATAATCACTCCTACTACAATGGCAGCAACTATAGCTCCAGAACCTAGCAGGGAAGCAGAAAGGGAAAAACAAAGTTGGACTTGAAAAGTTGCCATCGTAGTGTTGGAAGATTTCAAAGTTTAATTCCTCACTAAAAAGCTGCATTTTCTTACTTTTTATACAGGGGAATGACTGGGACACTCAAGAGCATGAAAGGAAGGGGAAGGCTACGCTGAAACCCAGAGGTACCACAGAAGAACCAGAAGATMCAAAAACACCTCTTTGTGTCATGTGTCCACAACATATGTCACATACGTGTCCAAATACCTCAGTGTGTCTTGTATTGACAAATACAAGAGCCACTGGGTGCCTGAAAGCCGGGACACTGCTGCTCATCTAACCAAGACGTGGTAATTACAGCGCAGGAACCCAAACCTGTCACCCCGTTCTTTGTCTTACTTTGATAGAGACTTTGTTCTTGATTCCTGGTGGTCACATTTGTTGGGAACAGGGTGTTATTGGGCGGCGGTGCGGCTGTCGTCATCCTGGCTCCGCTACGGAAGAACGAGGGACAGTGTCACCAGGAGTGGGAGCTTTCCTGACACTGAATCGGTGCTGCAAGGTGCTTCTCCTTTGTGGGAAGGATGATGCTTAGCACAGCGAGCAGATCCATCTATAACACTTTAAATTCAAGTATCTGAATACTTTATAGGGGCAGGAATTCCTTATATCGCAGAAAGGTTTAGCAGCTCCTCTACAGAACCCAATGTGTTGATCTAACATGGAAGCAACACAGCTGATTCCCGTAACACGCAGCTCCAAGAGTCCCTGGCAAGCAGCAGTTATCCCACAGGCAGAAAACACAGGACAAAGTGCCCAKGGCAGAAGGGACCCGAGAGCCCTGGAAGAGCAGCTCACCCTGGGGTGTCCTCTCGGGGCTGTTACGGAGGAGGAGGATGGAAAAGGAGGAAGAGGCTGCCAGTGTACAGCTGAAAATCTCCCTGCCCCTGCATTTTGGGTGCCTAAAATGTTAGCTCTACAAAGAGCAGTCCGTGTGCTTACGGATTTTTAAGTRTTTCCCGTGTTTTCCTAAAGGCGACCAGCAACCTTAGCCATTAAAAGAGCCCTTCAGCCTGAGGAGGGTGTGAATACCACTTCAAAGGAGCCCTGAAACCCTTCCAGCTCCCGGCTCCAGAGCTAATACCCACGGACTACCAGCCCTAAATGAAATTATTCTTCGCCAYGCTCGATCCTGCAAGCGAGTTCCCCCCGTCAGGGGCTGCCCCGTACGTGTACATCAAGGAAGGCTGCACTCGTGTCTCTGTGCTCCTCCGGGGTGCTGCGGATTTGTGGCATGTGCCTCAGAGCTTCAGTTTTGCATCGTACAAGATACAGAMGAGCCAGCAGGTTAATTGGAAAGAAAACAGTAATGAAAAGAACTGCAAATCTCAGAGGTGACTTTCTAAGATGCACTCAAACAACTCGTTAATGCCAGGGAGAGCAGCACTTTGCTGCTAACTGTGGCTTCTACCCAGCTTTTCTAAGGGATCCTGGCGCGGAAAACTTGTGTCTAGTTCAAGCCAGCCTGGTGAAGGTGAGTTATGAGTCACCTGTAACCAGAACAGGTTGTTGTCCACAAAACGGCCTGTTTTCCACAAGAACAAGTTTGTCCCACAAGTCGTAACAATCTAAGGTGCAAAGCGGAGAAAAAAGAAGAAAAAGGAATAAAAACATTGAATTTTCCTGCTGTGTTGTATAGTCACCGAATTCATGAGTAATAACGAGGCCCTTGCTCCGATGCCATCCCTGGAACGAGCAGGTTCGTGCCCGGCGCTGGGGAACCCAAGGGCCCAGCAAAGGCCGGTGAATCCCACGGGAACGTTCCCCGCTCCCGCCCCCTGCGCCGCTCACGGAGGGAAACGCGGGGGAGCCGCGGAGCGCTCAATAAACGCGCCGTGCMGGGCAGAAGAGGTGGACTTTGGTACGGCGCCGCGGGCCGCCCCGCTCCGTGCCACCTCCGTGCCACTCTGCGCACGCGCGGGACGAGCCGGCCGCGCCGGGGACGCCTGCTCCCCGCCCGGAGCTCTGCGTCCCCGGATTGCCCAGCTGGAAACATTACCCGGGCTCCAACCTTGGGCACGTTTCCACTTAAAACAGGGCCGCAGATACCGCCGGGTTGTTTGGGCAGCTGCTGCCAATGCCCCCTTTCATAAAAGCCTCCTGCTTCCCTGTGCCGGCGCCCTCGGAGCTGAAGGGCCGTGTTCAGGAGCAGGGAGCCRGGCACCCGAGTGGGTACCCGAGGGACACGGCCACGGGCTTGGGCTCCCCCATAAGAGCAGAACCTCAAACCACAGCTGCCCCCATGGAAGGCAGGTGCTGCCTAGAAAGGTGCACAGAAACCAGCAGAATATAGAATATGTATGGATTTTGGTCCAGGATCTCTCTTCCACGAATTACTCGTCCTTCGCTATCTTCACCTTATGAACAGAAAACCTAACGCTTGCTGAAAGCAGCAAAACCTCTCTGATCTCAGGAAGAATAAAGCACCCCTTGTGCATGGGGCTCCCCTCGTTTGCCAGGGGCAACGGGGCTCAGGCTCCACCTGGACGGCCCACGAGCCCCAGTCCCTGCGGCCGGGTTTCCTTGGTTTAATCTCCAGCAACATGGAGCGGCTCCCGCTGCTGCGCTTCATTATTCCCTGCTGTTTTGCAGGTGAGGGCAATGGATCAGGCGAAGGAAACGGGTATCAGAGTCACAAACGCAGCGTCGCTCCCCACGAAGCGGCGTGAAAGCGGCCGAGAGGTTCCCCCGGCAGCTCCATCCCGCGCCCGCCTCGCAGCCCCGTGACCAGCCACGGGAGGTGGGAGCAGCGCCCGGGTTTTGGGCTCAACCGCAGTTTTCGGAAAGCTACAAAACCACAATGTGCCGTAAGGTCATAGAGGGAGGAAGGGGGAAAATCCGTGCCGGAGCAGCCGCCGGGAGCGCCGTGCCGAGCGCGGAGCCTCGTCGCAGAGCAGCCCCTTTACACCCACCCTTATCTCGGGTTCTGGCACCAGCTCTCCCGGCTAGCTGCTGTTAAAACACACACTGAAAGCATTTTGTTCCCTTGCTGGGGCCGCGGACGTCGCTGAAACTACAGGCAGTTCTTTCATGCAGCGCCAGCCCCGGCAAAGCGCTGGGAAAGCCGGTCGGCGCGGCGCGGGTTGTGTCTGGAGAGGCCGGGCAGGGCTGCGTGCGGGAGCGGGATCGGGATCGGGAGGCGTTTTCCTACCTGCTACGGAGCGGAGCCTCCTGGRACCTCACCTGCGCTCAGTGCGCTGTGCTGAGGCGGGTTCTGCTTCCAAATGTCTTCCAAATAAATCACTGCTCTGCAGGCTGCGTTTCCAGCAGGCAAAGCTAGTTCAGCAGCTCTACTCGAATGAACCGCCGATAAAAGCAACTTGCTCTCCAGGACCGTATCCGTCTCCATCGCTAAAGACAACCCTGCTCCGCGGCGCTGGGGAAAAGGCCACTTTATTCCCGGCTAACTCAGCTCTTTGTCGGCATCCTCGGAAAACTCGCAGCACCTTTACGTGTTCCCGAGGAGAAACCCGGGGCCCGGCAGAGCTTTGTGGCGGCGCCGAGCTGCGTTGGGCAGCGGGAACCTCCGGCGCYGGCCGGGCCCGCGGGAAGCGCCGGCTCTGCCGGTGGCCCAGGCTGCTCGGCTGCCTCTGGGCACCTCTTGCCTGGGAAAGCAGGGGGCAGATCCCGACACGTTTCCCAGCAGGCTGGGGGCCGTGGACGGGCTGCCCCGTATCTCCTCCTCCTCCTCCTCCTCGGCAGGGCTGCGCGGGGCGGCCGGGCAGCGGCTGCCGAAGGGCAGGGCGTTAATCAGCCCGAGGCGCTGGGCTCCTGCCGCGCTCGCAGAGCTGCGGGCCGGTCCCACGGCCACGTTACCGGAGCCCCGGGAGTCCCGCGGGCTCATCCGGGCCGTTCGCACCCCTGCCCTGCGGAGCATTGGCCAAGCAACGCGCGCCAAGCAAAATGCCAGCGAGACACGGAGCGCTTCGCAAGGCGCCCAGGAATGTTGTCTCTAGGCAAAGAGCTGCTAAAACACCAGGGAGCGCCTGCAGCCGGAAAAGGAGCTCCTGGAACTGCGGTGTCTCCCACCTCCACGGAGGTGGCGGTGGGGACAGAGAGCCGTGCATGCCCGTGGGGAGGCGGATGACTCACCTCCCGGCCTCTTCCTCACCTTCCTGCTCTGCCATCCCCACTGATGCCTCCTAGCATCTCTCCTAGCGAGAGGCCGACGAACACGATAGATGTTGGCTCCGTTTCCCGGCTTCTGGGACTTGCGGTGAAAGCCRCACAGCCACCACCACCGAATTCTCCTCTCTCATGTGATTAACAACGGGCAAGGCCAAGGCCACTGCCCGGTGCCAACCAAGCCCCATCCCGCTGCAGCTCCAGGAATTCCATATCCCTGCGCAGCCCAGACGCTCAGCACCTGTGGCTGCTCTCAGCTCCCCCCATTTCACTCTTTGCTCCAGCCTCTCCGTGCAGGGAGCTTCCTGGTCCTGCCCGATTCACCGTTTTTTGCCATAGGCAAAAAGAAGGAACCAATGAGTAACTAATTGAGAACCGAGTGACTAACGAGAGTCACGCATTTGGTGGCAGCAGGCAGGCACGGAGGGGAGCCCTTCGTGCCTTCCTGCACAGGGACAGCCGGCCCTCCCGGCACTTGTGTTTTGGAGTTTCAGTGTCCTGCACGTGATGCAAACCTGTTCCCTGGGAACCAGACCGTATCTGCTGCGATTCARGTTGTTCATCTACCAGAGCAATGCACATTTCCACGTTGCTGCAAGCAATACAGGCAGCTCTTCAGGTTACACATCCCGGACTTCTTTTTTTCTGCATGCTACAAAAAACCAAATCTGCCTGCGATACTGAAGCCTGGCAACTTCCTCCTCTTCGCAAGCAGAAATCACAAGGCTCTTCRATTACAGCGCACACGAACGTGTCGAGCTGCTGGGCACGTCCCCCTGCCGCGAGCGCGGCGCGGACGAGGCCGCCGGCGCTGCGGGACCCGCGTTCACCCACGTCCTCCCGCAGCGCCCGGTACTGACACCTGCACCCGCAGCKGAGCTACCGGCACCCAGCGGGTCCCACGGGGCCCGTGGGGACAGGCCCAGCTCCGTGTCCTGGTGTCCAGGTGCCCGATCGCGTCCCTGCTCCAAAGCCGGCCCAAGCGCAGGGCATCACGGAGCGTCGTTGACTCACAGGAGGCTGCGCTTCCTTTAGCGACAACTTCCCGGTGCCAATTAAGGAATGACCAGGAAAGAGTAATTTAACTTAACTCCCCCCCAAAAGCAGCCATCACTGCAAACCTGTCGGCAGGTTCAGCACGGGCGCCAGCGATGCCCAATGGACACCCGTGTTCCCAGTGGCGGCCTGGCACAAGCAGCGGCACCACGTTCCCTGTTAAATACAAGTCTGGGGCTTCTCCTACCGCGCTGCGGATTGGGAGGAACCCCGACGTTCACAGGGCCGGGAGGGAACAGGACGGAGCGAGCGGGAGSGCGGCGCACGGATGGATCAGCCTTCCCGGAGCGGCTCCGGGCGGGAGCACCCGGCTCCACCGGCCCCAGCCCCTAAAGGCTCCGAATTAAGCGAAGGGGCGGGAGCAGCGGCGAGGCCGCCGAGCTGCGCGTTGCGGGGGGCTCCGCTGACCGGCGGCGCGCGGAGCAGCGCGGGGCACCCGCGAGGACACCGGCGAGGCGCCCGCCGCCACCGCGGCTGCTCCCGGACCGAAAGAGGGTGGAAAAGAAGCCCCGAGGAGCGCCCCGTGCGGAGCCGCGGGGAGAGCGGGAGCGGAGCCG